TTGTCTTACCTTCGCTCTGCACGCAGGCTCAACTCACGCCAGGCTCGGTGGGCTCTCTTCCTGGGACGGTTCAACTTCACCTTGACCTACCGGCCTGGCTCCAGGAATGTGAAGGCCGACGCCTTGTCCCGGCAGTTCGCTTCCCCAGTGGAGGACTCAAGAGATGCAACCATTCTGCCATCTTCCTGTGTCGTGAGAGCAGCTAGATGGGAGATTGAAAGGGTGGTCCAGGAGGCCCAGGAGGACCATCCAGCGGCTCAGGATTGTCCACCAGACCGGTTGTTCGTTTCCCCCGATGTTAGATCTCCAGTGCTCCAGTGGGGACAAACGTCCAAAGTTGCCTGCAGGTTTTCATCGGACCCTGGCCCTTTTCGACAACGCTTCTGGTGGCCCACTATGTCCGCAGACACAAAGGAGTATGTCTCAGCTTGTTCCGTCTGTGCCCGCAGCAAGGCCTCACATCAGGCCCCCGCTGGCCTTCTTCGCCCACTTCCCATTCCCCACCGGCCCTGGTCCCACATTGCGGTGGATTTTGTGACTGGTCTCCCACCATCAGATGGGAACGACACTATTCTGACCATCGTTGACCGTTTCTCTAAGACTGTGCACTTCGTCCCCCTGCCTAAACTACCTTCTGCCCTCGAGACTGCCACTCTTCTCACCCAGCATGTTTTTAGGCTGCATGGTATCCCTCAGGATATTGTTTCAGACAGGGGTCCGCAGTTTTCCTCCCAAGTTTGGAAGGCCTTTTGTCGGGCATTGGGGGCGTCGGCCAGTTTGTCCTCTGGGTACCATCCCCAGACCAATGGCCAGACGGAGCGGGCAAATCAGGATCTAGGAACGGCTCTTCGTTGTGTTGCCTCTCGAAACCCAGCCTCATGGTCTCTTCATCTGCCATGGGTTGAGTACGCCCACAACTCCCTGGTGTGCTCTGCCACGGGTATGTCACCCTTTATGGCTTCCAACGGCTTCCAACCTCCCCTTTTCCCGGTTCAAGAGAGAGAGGTGGCAGTTCCCTCGGTACAGGGGCATCTTCGGCGAGCCCGCAGAGTCTGGCGTGAAGCCCGGGCAGCTCTTACCCGCACCTCCGCCCGGAACCAGAGGATGGCGGATCGTCATCGACGACCAGCTCCGGATTACCAACCGGGCCAGAAGGTTTGGCTTTCCTCCCGTGACATCCCTCTTCAAACGGATTCTCGGAAACTCACTCCCATACATTGGACCTTATGAGATAGAACGGGTCATCAATCCTAGTGTGGTTAGGCTTAAGTTGCCTCTTGCCTTGAAGGTGCACCCCACTTTTCATGTGTCACTCCTTAAGAGAGTTTCCTGCAGCCCTCTTTGCCCTCCGACCAAAGCCCCTTCACCCCCCCGGCTCATCGACAACCACCCGGCCTTCACTGTACGGAGGTTGTTGAAGGTTCGTAAGTGGGGCCGTGGATACCAGTATTTAGTGGATTGGGTGGGGTATGGGCCAGAGGAGCGACAATGGGTTTCTCGCTCGCTCATTTTGGACCCAAAACTCTTGAGAGACTTTTATGTCCGTTTCCCGGATAGTCCTGGTAGGCGTCCGTTGAGGGGGGGGTAATGTTATGTTTTGCATGGGGCTTTTGTTGTTTTTGTGTTTTACTTGTTGTGTGCTCCTTTTACCCCTCACTACTCTGTCTTTCTGTCTCTGCAGGGCTGGTGTGTGACAGGGGGGCGTGGCTGGTTACTCCTGGCTGCAGATGAGGCACACCTGTCCCCACTCACTTGATTACCTGCTCTTTAAGAGACTGGCCCTCACCTCACTTCTCTGCCAGAGTATTTTTCATGCTGTCCCGCGGTCCGGAGTGCCTGGAGTCTTTTGCAGTTGTTTAAGGAGTTCTTTTTGAGTTTTGATCGGGAACGTTTTCCCGCAGCTTTGTTTTGAGTTACTACGGCCAGCCAAGCTCCCTGTCGTCAGGACCTGCCTTGGATTACTTTGTGAAATAAACTCTTTGAAACTTTATTTTTGTTCAGTCTCTGTTTTGGGGTCCCAGTAGTATCTAACCGTCACAGACATGACTCCCAATATTAATTGAAATGCTTTTATGGATTTAAAAAATAGTTGTATGCATGCCCGGCGCTGTGGGAGGGCCCTCCCATTTGACATTCTTGCCCTCCCCAAATAAACACGATTTTTATTATTTATAAAAAATGTTTTTAAAAAATTACATTTTTTGTTGTTATAAATAAACTGTGAACTTTTATGCTACGATGTATGTGATGTCAGATAGTAACTAAAACAAAAAAATCGCAGGCTACGTCAAATACATTCATGTGTCTGTTGTGATTTGTGATTCGTCCACATTTAGACCAATCACAGCGTCACACTCTGCCACCTATTCTGGATTTGTTTATTGTTTATTGTGCATTCTGTAGACTCCTATTTATGTTTGAATTACACAATGAACATCAGAAATTGGCTCAAAAGGTCTAAGGATTTATTAAAACAAAATAGCGATGAAAGAACTGCAGCCGATGGTAATGCTGGCGACCCTGCACCTGCCGTTGCAGCAGCACGCCTTAATGTCACAAGCTTGACCTCGGCAAACCCCGGGGCTGAGTTAGCGAGCCCAATCCATGACTCAACAAGGCGGCCGCCACCAACGCTGTCCTCCGAGGCACAGCTCCTTGTGCCCCTACCATCACCACCTGCGTTACCACACCCGCCAGCATCCTCCTCCTGCTCCGTGCCGGAGCCTCCACTACAGACGCTACCTTGCAGCACATCAACAGGTACTATTGGGCCAGTAACTGCTCAAAGACCAACAGCCCCAGATGATCTTGGGGTTAATAAACCCAACCAGGTGAAACTGGATCGTTATCCAGGGAGATTGTTTTCAGGAAGAGAAGCGCACTTTTGCCGCTGCATGGTACAACAACAGACCATGGCTTGAAGATTCGTTAAAAGCAGACGCAGCCTTTTGTTTCCACTGTAGACACTTTAAAGTAAATATGTCTTCATCTGATGCGGCTTTTACTGTCAAAGGTTTTTGCGACTGGAAACACTCATTACAGACTGATAAAGGACTGCTAAGGCATGCCGCATCAAAAGAACACATTTCATGTGAGAGTTTGTGGAGAGGGAGACAGATACGCGAGGAAATAAATAAGGAAAGTAGTACTTTGGTGCAGATCAGCTGGCACGGAACCGTTATTACGTGTCAGCTGTCGCTGATATTATAGATGTTTTAGCTGTCAACCAACTCCCTCTCAGAGGTGACCACGATTCACTCCACAGCATGTCCGAGTCAGGCAGTGGGCTCTTCCTATCGCTGTTTGAGTATACGCTGCAGTACAAAGATGCAGAGTTGGCCAATATAATGGACAGCATTCCCCACACAGCAACATACACCTCTCACGACATGCACAATGCCATAATAGAACTAACAGCAGTTCATCGTCTCCCTCTCTACTATTTCTCTCCGAGTGCAACGATGAGGAAGCTGCCATCCTTAACCAGTGTGCCTTGCTCGTGATTTACCAGTGTTTGTGCTGCCACGCACACAATGTTTCAAAAGTGGTTTCTATGTTGCCCTTTACTTGTGTATGTATTTGTGATAAGTGTGCGTCTTTGCGCAATGCTGTTGGCCTTGCTGTTTGATATATCAACACACTCTCACTCCATAATCGTCCAGGAGCGACGTTTGGTCAGGGTCCCGTGGCGTGCAGTTGTGACGCTCCTAGGCTCCTTCAGCTTCATAAAGGGACGCAAATAGCTTTCAACTGATTGCAATGTATTCTCATCTGCGGCGGGATTTGACGCTCATGGAAGCACGGCATTCGTTTGTGTCGGCTGCCCTTAAAGGCAATGTGAGCGTCCATTCCCATTGGATAACGGAGAATTGTACACCCGGAAGTAAGTATTCCCCTTACTGTCGATTGATTTTACCTGATATCTGCACTACTCATCGACTAAAAAACACCAGATTATCCTTGTTAATTACACAACATTGATTGGTTTAAATTGTGTGCAATACTTTTGTATTTTTCCCCTTCGATTCGGAGAAACAAATATTTTTTCGGAGTAAAGGATGGCAGAAGATACTACACTACCCAGAATCCCCAGCTATCGTTTAGGACTACACCATGTGCTCTGTTTGACAAGCCCCGTGATTAGTTCTCAAGCTCTGTGATTGGTTGACCTCCAACTGCATTCCATATGAAAAAAAACATTTCGTTAAAGATAAAATTATACTTTATTCAGCAGTGCTTGCTTTACTCTTTGAAAGTCATCACATGAATGCATTGTAATAAATGGTTCGGCTGCATTACATATATTACACATCTGTCGTAGTTGTTTAGTTTTTATTTATCTACAGAGATCGGGCTCAGAATAGACCGGAAACTATTCTTTTACCGTTCAGTTTGAATTTCACAATAAAGTTAATAATGTTTTGTTTTGATATTATTGTTTTTTATTAACTACTAGACTGCTGGGTCATGTTAAGACTATCTTTTCTGTGTTGCTGTGGGTTTTTTCCATCGCTTTTGTGTTACAAATATCAAAACAATAACTAAATATATCCGTTGTAAACTAAACTAGAAACAGCAGTATATTTTATTTTGTTAACACTGTAAACTTGACAGCTTTTTAACCCAAACCACCTACTGGTTAAAGCACGTTATTACACGTTTAGAGTAATGCAATGCAGGTAGATTGTGTTGCTTTTTAATGACTCTTTAAAATGCCTTTTTCTTAATGTCTTTTATTATTATTAACTACTTGTTACTTGTTGCTAGGGACGCTGCTATCGATATTATTTCTGTTATGTTGTGTAACTGTTTAATGGTGTTATCTTTATTGATACCCCCTTCCCCGTCAATGTATAGTGTTGGTCCACAGCGCAAACGTATTAGTTTAACAAAATCCGTGTAGCAAGTGTATTAGCTGTAATTAAATGATTGATATTCAGAAGAACTAGGAACGACTATGGAGCTCAATGTGTGTGAAAAATACAAACTGAAACCAAGTATGCGTTACAAAATAGTTGTATTCAAGATATCAACAAGTTCATTCAAATTCACATGATTATTTTCAGGTGCCCAGTAAAGGCAAAAGACAACAAAAGAAAAGCTTCCGGGGTAAAGTTCATTAATTTCCGTTTAATCCTACTTCACCATGTGGCAGGTAGGATAGGTTTAGAATCTTAGCTCGCCATCAAGGTCCATGAAAGGTCATCAGGTGCAGCAAGCACCTGGCAAAAAAAAAAAAATATCCAAACAAAAAACCTGATCTGTAAAAGGTCACAAGGAATAATTAGTTTCTTCCCCTTTAAGCATTTAAATAAAAATAAATATCTTAAATAAAATAAATAAATCACTGGTTTAATAAATCTCTTAAATAAAATAAATACATTTCCGGTTGTACAACATTTCTATATCCATTTCTATACAAAACATTAATCTGTTTAAATTCAGCCAGTAAACAGCAAAGCAATACCTCAGGGCTGATAGCCAAAAGCCCACAAGGTTACACTTAAAGTAATTGGGATCAGTGAAGAACCATCTTAACCATGCATAAGATATTTCTACTAGCAATACTATTAGCATGCTAACAACTAGCTTAGCAGCTAACGGGAGCTATCTCAATGTAGATTTCCTATTGAAAATGCTAACCGCTAGCCGCTAAGCTAGCGGGCACATTCCGTGCATTTTTCAATAACATTACACATTTTAAATACATTCTACCAATACAAGACTCACCGCTGATTGCAGCAATTGTTAACAAAACGTTAATCTGTTTAGGAATCGTGGAGGAATCCCTGTGTGTAGCATGTAGCATCAAAGTAGCAACCAGCATCACAAACGACCAGCCAATGAAACGGAAGTGACCTGGCTGCCGTTTATACTGAGCTACGGGAATCTGCTAGGATTGAAGGTTTTTAACCTGGGTTACATCCGCATCTAAAATGGTGGCATAGATAGCCTACGTTATTTTCCCCTGTGCAATTCTCCATTTACTCAACAATAACGCATAATTATTAGGGCCGGGACTCGATTAAAAAAATTAATCTAATTAATTAGAGGTTTTGTAATTAATTAATCGAAATTAATCGCATTTTTAATCGCATATAAATATTTGACCTGAGAACAGTGAGAAGCAATTTTTTTCACATGGATTTTAGTATACCATTAGGCGCATTCACACCGCAGTACTTTTCCCACAAAGGTTCATGAGAACTTAGTTCATGAGAACTCTTTGAACCTGGGGGAGGATTAGGCAAATGAAGCCGCTGACGTCACTTCTTCTTCTTCTGCTTTGGGTTTACTGGCAGGCCGCAAACCACTTCACGGCGTATACTGCCGCCCAAAGTCCCCGGCCGGAAGTCCCCGGAGTTGGGGACTGGCTTCAGTAGAAGCTGCTGGGAGTCCCAGCAGCTTCTACTGAAGCCTTCCGAGTAAATCGCCAGAACGCCGACACCTCCTCATCTCCACCGCTCCCATGTTTTATTTTGTGTTGCCATAAGTTAGTCTCTCTGCGTTTCTGCGCTGGGCTAATGCTAATGCTAATAATGCTAATGCGAGGATAATAAAATGGCGGCTTCACCAAACTTTTTGGGAGTTTTACGGGGCGTGGTTTGCAATCCGCCCAGCCAATCAGAAATATAGCTCTTTTCTCACAAGAGAGCCGTACGAAAGTCCCTGCTCTCTAGCAGCTCTCTGCTCTCTAGCAGGGACTTTCGTGGGGGTAAAAAGGTTCTCATGAACTAATTTTAGTACCGGCTCTTTTTGGTGTGAACCATAGACTGTATGGTGTGAACGCGATAAAAGAGGCTAACGTCCACGCTAGCTGCTATATGTTTTGCATTGAGGTGATACTTGAGGCTTGATGTGCTGCGGTGATATGCGAATTCCTTTTTGCATAATTTGCACACAACCGTGCTCTTATCGACGCTTCCATCCGTCCGTTTTTTAAAACAACATTTCCCACTGTTGTTCACTGTGGTTTGTTGTTGTCTGAAGTCATGAACGTTAGTTGGTGCTCCAGTATAATCGGTACGCCTGAAACTCATCCAGTGTGAAACGTTCCGCGGTGCAAAAATAAGTGCGATTAAAATGCGTTAATTTTTTTAACGCGTTAATTTTTGTGTAATTAATTAATCTTAATTAACGCGTTAAAGTCCCGGCCCTAATAATTATCCTTGTGTTTATTTATTTGTTTGATTAATAAACACAAGTTGGAGTCCGTCAGGACCGAGGTTGGAGCAGCTCATTTGCTTTAGAGAATATTACACCTGGAAGTAAGTATTCTCTCCGCTTCGCTTGACAAACCCCGTGATAGTCAGCTCTGTGATTGGAGAGTGTGCTCCGAGGGTTACGCCGAGCGTCGAACAGCACTTGAAATGGGATGGAACCACGGCAGACTGTCAAAAACTGGATTTGAACGGGTCCACCGCGTCCCCCCCTATAACATTTAATTAATAAATGGGTGAAAATCATAGGCGGCGCGTGAGGCTCAGGTTTGGGAAGGCGAAATAACTTTTTTTTCATCTTACGCTGCCCGCCTCCGGCGTCTATAGAAAAGAGATCAACTCAGTGAAAGCACTGCCTGCTGACCGATCAGAGCTCAGTGTGCAGAGTTTAAATCTATCAAGTCATATTACAGGAAAAAGGAAATGCAGTTTGAACTGCCGTATGCAGAGAAGACGCCGACGTGTCGCACTTATCATTCATATCACACTGACATCACATCATCTATCAGATCATCGATCTCACAATATTTCCTTATCTGAGTCAGCTTCTCGAGCCGTATCTGGCCGTGCAACACTTAGTTACATTGTCACATATACTGTATGTAGACGTATTATTTTAAGCAACACATTAAGTTGACGAAACACTCAACTCAAATGTAATAAAGTCAGATCCACTCGTGTCTAGATGGGGCAGTGATATCATAAAACTGTTGTACGCTTTCAAACACTCGGTAGTTTATTTTTTAACGAGTTGTTCTGTATTCTCCTTGCAGGTGCAACTATGTGGCTTGTATCCTGGAATATATGTTTAAGTCATCATGGATGTTTAAAGTTCATATTTGTCTAACATTAGTTTACTTTTCATTAATGAAGTATGATGTTGCGCTGTCAGTACACTTGTCCCTGTTTGTGATTGGTCAAATGTAGCTAACCCCGCCCCTTTCACGTGAACGCGTTCTCAGCTGGAGAGAGAAACCCTGGCTTGATTTACCGAGTTGATAACCAGCGTCGTAGGACCGCTTAGCGAGATCTCGTTTGTTTGGGTTAGTTAAGATAACTCAAACGTATCCAGGGTCTGTTGAACTGGCTTCGTACAGGGCACAGGTGGCTGCATAGCAGCGCTAATGTGAAAGACACACACATTAGACATTATATTTTTATTTTACCAGGATGCAGTTACAAAAATATTTGGGAAGGCTTAGCCTTCCCTAGCCTACAGCACCCGCCGCCCCTGGTGAAAATTGCTTGTGCCCATAATAGCCAGCATTAATATATATACCCACATGCCAGCTAAGGTCAGAAGAGCTTTATTTAACAGCTGGTCTTATGTTTGTGACCCTTCCTGTTGTTAATTGATAACATTACATCACATTACATTAATTGATAAGCCAGAAACATGCACTTGTCAAGGTTCAGAGGCAAATTTTGCAAATATGGCAGTAGCCATCGATCATCTTAAGATAAGATATATTTTATTGATCCCAAGTTGGAAACATTTGCGTTACATCAGCATGTGTAACAGTTGTAAATATGCAGTGGTGTTTATTTGTAAATCATTTAGTATAATCACACAAATTCTGTGTTTTATATTTAACAATTCTGTGTTCTTTATTTATTGATTGTTCAATACCTGACAAGGTCGGAGATTAAATATCTACATACATCTTATAAGAGTATAATACATATGTATAATATCAGTTAAAATAAGTGCTTCAACATAGTTAACATTGCTGGAGGTATGCACAAATATTGATAGATGTCTTGTTATGCACTATTGAGGAACCTGCGACCCAAGTTTTTCATTCAATGCATAACTACACCGTTTGTGAATATGATATGTCAATAAACCTTAGAAAATCTTGAAATCTTGAAAGGGATGTGCAAAATAGTCATTATATACAGTATTTAATTAACTATTAGCAGAGAATAACGAGTAATGAATATACTTTATAGGGATCCTATTAATATCTATTAATAAAAATAATGAAATTCAATAACATGCTTTAACCACTAGGTGTCCCTTTATATCAGCTGTGCACCTTTATGGTGTAAATACAGCCTATCTACCAATTGGATCAAATATAAAAGTCATAAAAGTATAGTGTTGATACTGCAAGGAGACGTATTGTGTGAAAAGAAATGTAAGATGTTGTTTAATTGCTGATATATTTATGATCCACGTCACGTTTTCAGTTCCTCATGTTTGTCTAGAAGTCTTCTCATCAGGGCTCTATAAATACAGAACTACGGCAGATATGTAATATTTAATGCAGCCGAACCGTGTATTACAATGCCGTTATGTGATGACTTTCAAAGAGAAAAGCAAGCACACTCGGAATAAAGTATTATTATTTTTTTTTAAAAATGTTTTCGGTCTGTTTCCGGTATTTGTTAATGACGATGTGCTGTGAGATGTGAGACTGGAATTGCACAGGGGAAAATAACGTATCTTTAGATGCGGATTTTGTTAAACTAATACGTTTGCGCTGTGGACCAACAATATACATTGACGGGGAAGGGGGTAGCAATAAAGATAACACCATTAAACAGTTACACAACATAACAGAAATAATATCGATAGCTGCGTCCCTAGCAACCACCTTGGTAACAATGAAAACGTTCTATGGACGCAATTTCCTGAAGTAATCTTCGTAATAACTAGCAAACTAAAGATCATGTACATCCACTGCACACATAATCTGAAATAACAACTCATATTTCTCGCATCAAATGACATCAAAACGCATTTTAATGGCCAAACTAACTTTAAAATAGGCATTTTCCACCGAGAATAAAACGAAGTTCGGCCATGTTTTTTTTTTCTGCAGGGAGAAATTTGAAGATCATGTGACATAGACGCCAGCCATTGGAATGAATGGTGAAAAAAAACGGGGTTTGTCAAACAGAGCACATGGTGAAGTCCTAAACGATAGCTGGGGATTCTGGGTAGTGTAGTGTCTTCTCTTTAATGATAAAAACCTAGAGGACATTATTCAACTTCTGAAATCCTCCTCTTGCTGCCTTGATATTATTCCAACAGGATTTTTCAAAGATGTTTTGCCTTGCATGGCCTCAGATCTACTTCATATAGTAAACAAATCTCTTCACTCAGGTATTTTTGCACAGGCCCTGAAAACTGCAGTCATTAAACCGCTCTTAAAAAATAATAATCTAGATGCTTCAGTAATGAACAATTACAGGCCCATATCAAACCTCCCATTTCTAGGTAAAATCATTGAAAAAGTTGTTTTTCAACAGTTGAGTAATTTCTTGCATTTAAATAACTGTTTTGATGTGTTCCAGTCAGGCTTTCGTCCAAACCACAGCACTGAGACTGCTCTTGTAAAGGTCTTTAATGACATCCACTTAAACACAGACAGTGGCAGAACTTCAGTGTTAGTATTATTAGATCTCAGTGCTGCGTTTGACACTGTTGACCACAGCATATTACTAGACCGACTGGAGAACTGGGTGGGACTTTCGGAAACAGTTCTGAATTGGTTTGAATCCTACTTAAAGGACAGAAACAACTTTGTTTCTATAGGTAAATACACATCTGAGTTGACAAATATGACATGTGGGGTTCCTCAAGGCTCCATCTTGGGGCCTCTTCTCTT